AAGGCCACACGGACACGGCTGCCCAGGAAGGGCACGGCATGGAGGGACCTGGAGCAAGGGAGAATTTCACAGCAAAGATCACCGGGGTCACAGGGAAATCCATTTACCACACCTTCAGCTAGTCTCAGTGGCCTGAGAACCACTTCATCTTCCAAAAAGGGCTGGTTTTGGCCAAGGCAACCATGAAAATGAAGACCACAAGCACACAAGCACCGGCTTTATTAGTAGCGGTGAAGCTCAGGAACAGAGGAGCCTTGACTCTAGGTATGTCCACACGATCTTTCCTAGGCAAATACAAACTGCTCACCCCTAAGAAACACAGGCACGGTCTTTTGGTGCCGCACACTGAACAGAAGATGCGTAACTATGCCTTGTGTGAGGCTTTGCCTAAGCCAATAAGCCCTACTGATGGGCAGATTGTACTAGCTCAGGACTAAAACCACGCTCATGAAGCTATAAAGCTGTTCCAGAGTAAGGCTGTCTCAGACTATGGAGAGAAGGAGTTTCTATCTGGCTACCTCAGACTCCAGCACACCCATACAAGTAGGGAGAAGACACACACTTTGTTCTTGCTTGCTGGTCTGCTCCTGAATCTGTGGCTACAGAAGAGGTCCAGGCATGAGCCACATGCTCATGGTGAGGGGAGTTTGCTGTACGGATTCAGTTGCTGCCAGGGCCAGAAAACAACTGCTGGCCTATTTTATTTGTTAGTCCAGACATAGTTTGGAAGACCTAACAACCATAAAGCCCAGTGATGTCATTTCTATATCCATGCCCAGAGTAGAACCATAACTGAGCTGCCTGTCCTGGCCCTGAGGATAACTGAAGAACAGCTCAACGATCAGACTGGGTTCCACACAGGGTTGAAGGGACCACAGTGCATCAATTCAGAGAATACTCACCTCTCACCTAGGTATCAACACTTCACCTTATGACAGTGGAGACCTTCTAGTGAAGGATGGGGGAAAAACCCTGCAGAAGACAATCTTTATTCTATGTTAAGTTAATCACTCAACAAGAATATCAAAAAGGTCATTTGCACATGACTGTGGCCTGACATCCTATGCAGTTCAAGCAGTAGCATCATTGTACCTTTGCGGTATAATGCGTGTCCACACACCTACTGGTAAGGTAACCAACAGCCGAGTCAGGAGAAGTGGACACCCTTGCATGCACACAAAAAACTTTTTCAGAAGTACCAACAGAAAGAAAAACTTTCAAGTTAGGTACTGGGAGCATAGAAGGTGAGGAAAGTATAACATACTGTAATAAAGGAAATGGAAAAAAGAAAGAAAACCTCATTAGGAGTACAAGAATACTTTGACTTCTCAAGAGATTGCTATTAAGTACCTGCAAAAGACAGGCTTTAGAACTGAAATGACCAACTCTATTGAACATCAGAGCCAGGGACTCAGCAAAGGCACTACTTTCATTAAATGAGACAATTTTCTCCCCTTCCTGCTCTTAACTAACCCTTCAACGACCCTGAGGCAGTATTTGCACTGAGGCTAATGACTGTGTCCTTTGCTAACATCTACCCTTGCTCCAGAGCTAACTAACGTGCCTCTGCAGGTGCTCCACGGGTACTGCTTTTCCTCCCATACAGGCTGACAGATGAACAGAATCAAGTTAAGCTCAGAGCAGTTTTTCTCCATCTGTACTTCGTTTTTTTCAATTCAATTCATGTTTCAGGCTTAAAGAAGCACTAAAAAGCCTGAAACATACCTATTTTTTCCAAGTGTACCTTCTGGACAGGTAAGTGGGTTTCTTCATTCAGTGGCAAATATTAAGCTTCCCCTGGCACGCTTGTTACAGCCAGGCAAAAGCTCTGTGAAAATTTTTCCTGAACTTAAAAGAAGCTGGAAGACTAAATCATAAACATGTGTCAGATGCTCCAGTGTCGTGAGCTGAAAACAGCTGCAAACTGCAGAGGACTATTAGCCTATATATATATAATTAATCAAACAACAACAACAATAAATAATAAGCCAAGTCACACAAGGCTATTTGCGTGCCCGGAGTCCTCAACATCTAATGAGGTTTCCTTCGAAGTTAATGTACCAAAAATGAGAGGCACAGAATGGGCCACAACTATCAATATTGATTTCTTCTGGCACTACTATCTTGGCCTGAAACCCCTGGCAAGAGGAGCACTTTGTGCAGCAGCAATTTCAATGTTTCTGTGAAAAATTATCAGAATGCTAAATTCCACTTCGAATTTGAAATATGAATCTGAAATGTACTTTGCTCAAGCTTTGTTGAAGAAACAATTTATTACAGCACTTAATCTTCCTGATGAAAGAAAAGGAGATTTTAGCTTGCTAATAAGCTGTGTAGAAGCCATGACTAATTAACCTAATTATAGCAGTCTGTGACAAAATGTGATTGTACTAAAATCATGCCTCCAGTAACTGGAGTTGCCAAAAACTCAAAGGCTGATAAACCAACACATATTAATAGAAGATAAACACTAATAAAGTTGACACCAGCCATATTATTTATAGTAAAATCAATACTACAGTCATCACAAAAGACAATCTGAACAGTATTCAGTATCTGGTGACATGGAATTCACTGTCTGAAAATCCTGACATATACAAAATCAGTGCAGAACATTGACCAGTGACTGCAGCTCTTCGAGATGTGCGGTTCATGGGAACAGCGGATGCATGCTGAGGCTGAAGACACCTGACGTGTGCAGCACACTTGGACACACTTACATCGTGCCATCTCACAGCTCAGCAAAAGGGCAGATGCAGAGCAGAATTTCTTGGCATCACACCGTTTCTATCTCAACCACAAACCCCAAGAGACGCAGCGGGAGAGAGGAAGCTGAGTGGGAAAGGCTCATCTTAAAGAGAGCCAGTTACTGCAAAGCAGGTGACAGTCCACTCTCAATTCCTGCCTAACCCAGGATAACTCTCAAGCTACTCCATGCACACAACGACTGCATGATAAATACACAACACTGCATCGGTTTTGGATGGTTGAGGGATGAAGGAGTGCAGGCTGCTGGTGGAGATGAAGCTGGGGCACGTAGCTGATGGAAGGGGTGAAAACCTCGTTCAGTGACGCCACTGACAGTGTTTGAGCTCTGATTAATAGAAGCTCCTTACTGCTGATCTCATAGCAGGCTCTGACACAGTATGGTATGTACTTTGACACCCTATGCACAGAAATGCCTGTTCTCCTGGGTATGTCAAATAGTGATGCAAGAATAAAGTCTGAAGAACGCATGATGACAGAGATGATGTTCCTTCTGGTGTTTATGACCCTGAGTGGGCAACTGTACCAACTTCATTGCAATAGTGAGGCAATTGCAGCAATCATGATGAAGCACATAAGGACTACGAAAGGCCATTTCACCCACAAGGAGTGGAACTGGCCAGCACAGAAGAGATTATCTTACAAAGAAAACTCACTGCAAACTTAGAAGGTCTCTGCTTGGAGAACGTACCACCTGCAGGCACCAAGAGTAATATATTTCCTAAGATGCGTAAAAGGATCTCCAAAATAAGAATCAGAGCCCCAAACCTCTGAAACCTACAGTGGAAGGAAGTTCATCTTCCAGAGAAAACTTAGAAGACTGAAGTAGAAAGAAACTTTGCAGTGCAGAACACTCCGAAGCAGTGAAGAACACCAACACAGAAGGATGCCCAGAGGAACTGAAATGCACCTTTTGCCCTATATACCCCCATGTGGAACATGGGCAGGGACAGAGCACAGTTGGGAAAGCCTGAGTTTTCAAGCAATAATATGTACGTTTACCCACATTCTATACATACTGTGCAGCCCAAAGACAAAATACGCCCTTGCAAAGTGTGTATTTCATAGGCTCGATGGCTGAGTTCCCCTGTTTACATGTGTTCACCCTAAGTGTCCACTTAATTTGTCTTCAAAGGAGAAACAAAAATAAAACTGCTGCTGTCTGAACAGTGAAATGTGACCACTGAAGAAAAGGTAATTAAAGGTATCGATTTTTTTTAATTCCTCCATTATTATGGAAATATGCCTTTTAGAGGAGGAACAGGGCTGGTTTAGCTAGAAGTTCCAAGCTTTTATCGATGAGATGTCTTGGGCCTGGATGAAGACATTTTGTTTGGTCACCCTCCAGGAACCAGATACATTCTCTGTGCAGCATGGTGGAAGGGAGAGAAAGGGAGATAAAGGGAAAACCTAGATGAAAACTGGAGAGCTATCCCCGTGAAACCAGGATGCCTTCCCTCCCTACTTTGCAGCACTGGAGAAACATCCCACAAAAGCAGCACGCTATGAATAAAACTGATTCTTAAACCACAGCAGGTGTCAGAGACTGATCAGAAGCCACAATAAAACAAAAGATACAATCTCAGATCCAACAAAGTGTGAATAAGCATGCCTAACTTGAAGAACATTTTGACTCCTTCCAGAAAACAAATCACATCCCGCTGAATCAGGTCCAAATCCAGCACAATTTTCATTTGTTGACAAATGGGAGCAAAGATGGAGTAACTCATATCTCTTTAGGATGCTCTTCCTCACCTCTCACTCCAAACACATGGCAGCTGTTAGACCTTCTCACGATCATGACAGTATTTTTTTGCAGAAGTTCTGTCAGCTGTCACTACTCTGTCCCCGGCACATCTCTGCAGATGGTCATATCTACCTTAAATTCCTACCTCCTTCCAAACACAGTGAAGTTCTCCATGTCCTTTACAACCAATAACTACAAAAACCAAAGGACATTCTCATTCCTCCCTTACAGAGAGAGAAGCCTAAATCTCAGAAGGAAAAAGCACCTGCACGGGGGGACACAGATCATCAGGGGTACAGTCACGAAAAGCCCACAAAGTCAGTCTTGTACCTACAGAACTCGATTTCTGTGGCATTTTTGTGCTACTCCTGATGTATGGCCAGAACCTTGTTCACCAAATGCTATAAGGACCAACCTGAAGGTTGCTGAAAGTCTTTTACAGGAGATAAGGGATGCTGATTTCACACAGTTCAAGCGAAGCAGATACCTTGATTCCTCCCCAGGATTGATTAGACAGGAACTCCACTGGGCTTGTTACACTGGTCTGTGCTGGGTATCTTAGTAGGAAATCCAGTTCTACTGTGTTGATCTCTTTACTCATCAGAAGTATCTGTAATTTCAAACAAACAAGATATTCTTGAGCAGCCAGCATACCGGGCAGCAGTACACTCTAGAAGATTAATCATTCAACTCATGTAGCTGCCAAAGGCGTGGCTAAAAAGTACACTGTGCCCCATGTTGGAGGGGTGTGATGAAACATACCATGTAGGTGCTTTGGGTCTCCCCAAAAGAGGACCAGGAACAAATATGGAGATTGGCAACATAAGAGGATCAAAGTTTGGGAAAACTATGTAGCCAGGGCTGTGACCCAGGTTCATAGGTAGCACACGGAGAAGTCCCTGCCAGCAGACACACAGGCTGCAGAGTGTGCTGCAGGTCCCTGTGCTTGATACCTGCCACTAGAGAACAGATAAGTTTCTTGAAAGGAACCAGAGCGTACATCCCCAGGGCGTGCTACCGAGACCTTGTCCATCTCTCAGTATCTTGTTCAGTTTTGAAAGTAAGTGGAGACACACTGAGAGGGTTTCAAAAACCAAACAACCAAACCAAATCGAACCAAACCAAACCAAACAAAAAAACCCACCCAACCCTTATGGCACCAAGAGAATAAGCAGATCCCTCAAGTCTCAAACACTGGGAAGCAACTGGGCCATTCAGCTACTACCAATGTTTTTACCACCAACGGTAGCTTTTGGGAATACATGGAGTAAGACTGCCAGAGCAATGTTTAAGGTAATTCTGGAACGCCATACACGCCCATGAGCCCAGCTGGAGCCACTGCCCCAAGAGCACTGCCAGGCTTCTGAAATCTCAGAGGCAAACTCCGAAACCCTGAACATCAATTCCGGGTAGAAAAGGGACAGCGCTGGAGTGGTGAGTTTTTCACTTCTTTGTTACAGACCCTAGACTGTATTTCATCATTGCCTACGGGGCAATGGCATCTGAACTGTGCCTGGAGTCTCTTCCACCAGTGGTGGTAATGAGGTACTCTGTTCAAGAGCCAACTGCTTTTTCACATGGGAGAATCCTGTGCCTCATCACTCAACTGCCTCCGCACACTGAAATTGTGGATGCTGGTTTTCCCGACAGCTTACAGTGACCCATTAACTATATTTAGTGCTTAGTATAGTTGCAAGCACAATATGGGCTACCTAAATATTTTTATTTAGAGACATATATTAGAAAATGTAGGTATCCTTTGGGTCAGAATTAGGGCTGTTATTACAAAATATAAGCTGATTTTTTACATACAGATAATTTATTCATGAAATATATTGTTAGTCCCTTTATTAATTTATGTGTATATACGTGTGTGTGTATATATATATATATACTTACTTTCCCATTTACACATAGTATTTTGCTATGCAGAATTAAAAAAACCACAGCAATCACTGGATCAAGGTTAGTTAGACCTCCCAATGTTTCAGCAGTTCAGATTTGGTTCATCTCTGCATTCTACACGTCAGGGCATTTACACAGTCATTCACCACACAAACTTAGTAACAACTTCACAACATCGTGCCAAGCACTATTTACTGATTGAATTTGATTTCAGCATAGGGATATACACAGGACTCCTTGCTCAGATCGTGGACCAAAAATATACACTAGGCAAGACAGCAGCTATGTAGAAAGCATTTCTTTTCAATAAAACCAATAAGCCTTCAAGACCAGCTTGCTTTGCCCCTTTTTTTCAGGTCCTGCAAAGAGTTATTACTCTCTCAAACAACCTTTTGTCAGCACAATGCAAATCAAACACAACATCTGTGACCGTTATCAGCAAGAGAAGCAGAGAAGTAAATCAGTTCCCCAGCCCTTGTGTTTGTTGCTCTGATGCTGAAGGCCACAACCGACAGTCTGAGCTTTCTGCGCATGCCAATATCTCTGCCTGTAAAATAAATCAATGCATACAAGCTGCACGAAATGGTGATGTTTACCTGGAAGGTAACTTGAGCGGTGTAGGTCAGCTTATCACACTCAAACAGCCCCCGGGTCGTGTACTGGAACACGGAGAAGGTAATGCTGTCAATGAGGTTCAGCACACGCACTGGGAGGCTCTCATCTGGAGGTGCCCTCTCAATGGCTTTCTGAAACACGATGCTGAACGCCTGGGTGGGGAGACACAGAAGGACACCAGAGGTTTCCAGATGCTCTTTGCACGCTCCTGGGTACCACCTGAATACCGCCATTGCAATGAGCGAAGCCAACTCAGATACTGTATCCTGGGGCCACGAACAAAGCGTTCCCATCTGCCCAGCAGCGAGGCCCGCCAGCTCCAGCCAGCAGGGGACTAGAGACCAGACCCTGTAGCTGCTTTTTCAGGAGCATACAGACAGGCAACGATGACATTCCCTGTGACATTGCGCTCTCTTGGACTTGAGAAAGGAGTGCAGAGACCAGCTGACTGAATTAAGACACAATGGATACAAGAAATATTTATCTGACCAAATATGTTCTCTCATAGGGATTACACAGTCCACTTTCTCTGCAAATGCTGAGCCACAAGATAGTGGCATTCCCAGAGGAAAGCATACGTGCCATTTCACAAATGTTTCAACTTAGAAAAAAGCAATTCCCCCACATACAAAAAATAGCCATGCGAATATTTTACTGTTTGGATTCAGCAAAGGACTAGATGAGAAGGGCAGGTAGGACTTTATCTTGTTGACATGGGATTAACCAGTCAGTAAAGTCCCCTCTTTACTGGGATGGGTGCGTGCATCGAGAGTAACGCTCTTGTATAAGATACTAAGGACTCCTGTAAAATATTTCTGATCTAAACGGGAAAAGACAAAAAACTTTCAGAGCTGTCCAAAGAAAACCCATTAGCAAATTATCAACTAGAAGAAGAAAAAAGCGTAAGTTCTGATTAGCAATGCAAAGGCTCCATACACTGGGACCCAGCTAACAGGAAATAACTAGGCCAATACAAATTAATAGCACCAACTGGACGAGGCACGAATGCGTTGGCAGCATTATTTTTAGGGTTCTACAAAGGGAAAACAATGCCTCAACAAATTAAAGTAACATTGATACCTATTGCATTATTAAATAATTGCAGAATGCATTTTCCTGCTTAACATTTCTTTAAATTGAGTTAAAACATGCTGCAGAGTAACATATAAATCTTGTGTGCTCTAGTTTATAATGGGCTTCTAGCTGTGTGTTAAGTATTTTAAAATCATCTCTGTGCATCTTTGCACAATGTTTTATGATCTGCCATCAAAATTTATTAGATAAAAACATTTCACCCAATATTTTTTTATGTATTTATACACATTACTAATGTTAACTGGAAAACATAAAACAAACAAAATACAGAAGACTTAGATTAAAGGTGAAGCTTCAGAAACTCCTGTATCTATTATGTATGTGTAAGGAATGAATCTTTCAAAGGGCACCCTTGCACAAAAGATATTCTCTACATTTTCCTGGTAAAATTATTTCAACATATGAGTCGCAGATATCAAAAAGAAAAGCTTCTTTGTGGATGAGGCTCAAAATATTGTATTCTATTCTCCGTTATTTTTTCCAGGTCACTTATCAAGGTAAGAAATCGTTCAGAAGAAGTTCTAGACTAGGATGCCATCTCATTTAACCCTCCATCCCCCTGTGACAAAAAAAAAGGTCTTCCATTTATTAAAACATTAAAACTGAAACTCTTTGATAAGTACCCTGAAAGGCCCTTGGGTCTCTACTGACCAGACCTATTGAGACTACTCTGCCAAGGCAAGGGATTGTCTGCCCTTTCATTTTTACCGCAGCAGATCCTTAGAAGTTGCTCAGGGCCCGAGACTTCCCCAGTGTCTTGGGCAGCACATGCAGAGAACAGGAAGAGTTGACCCCTGCCTAAGCAGCCTCAAAGAGAGAGGGGATGGCTTGAAAAAAAACCCAGTTCCTACCAGTCAAGGAACAGAAAACAAGTGATTAAGTGATGCCCAAACATGAAGCAAAGACATGAACTATGAATAAACTACTGGTCTTATATTTCATTCTAAAAATCTACCTCCTCCATCGTAGTAAGTGGAGTCTCAGTCCGTTCCATAAAGAGAAGCACTGATGGCTCAAAGATAGTCAAGAGACTTGGAAAACGTGGCCATGCTCTCATTCCCACAAAAGCTGCTGGCTTCTCACTGGGATCTGCCGCCACATGGCGAGTGGGACCGTTCAGCCCCACCACTATGAGCAGTAATAACTACGTTGAAATCAACCTGCCATGTTGGAAATGTTCTCCAGGTGTTCTGGTTCTGGTGAGAACAGCTCTAAGCGGGAATGTTCTCCAAAGACGGGCCACCATTCCTAGTTCTCCACGTAACAGGTCTATGTACTACAGAGCTACACTTGCTGTGCAGGGAAGGGTAATCTATTTAGACAAGACAGAAAAGTAGCGAGGGCTTTGGAGCACAGACCCTTTGGCTATATCTCGTCTACATTTATTTTAGAAGCACAGGGCAAGAAGTGGTCTCTGTCCCAGCACGGTCCCCATTGGTGTGTTTGTACTGCCATCATGAGCATGTCTGTAGGTGAGACTGCCAGCAGCGATACCGCCAGGTAGTAACACACCCGTAAATCCGATCTGGACTTCTAGTCTAAGGACATTTTAGGCTGTAGGCTTGCTTGTCTGTCTGATGGCCACAAAACATTGCGAGAAGAGCAGGAACACAGCCCTCCAGAGGACTCCTCCAGACTGTGGATAAGGGTGTGTGCAGGCCCATAAAAATGGTGGTGAGCATTCAAGTCGTGCACTACCTATTCCTTCGCACCAATCACACGCAGACACTAACCCAAAGCTAGATTTCACACCATGCTGTTGATCGCCTGAAAGGCTTTTATAACTGTAGTGTAGGAAGCTCCTGAAAGCCCTGCTGCTTGGGGCCCTTCTGTTGTAGAGATGGGAGTAGGAATGGCTTGCCTTTTGTACAGAAGGTGGCAATAAATCCCTGGCGGTGTGGTCTCAGTGGGGCAGGACTGTGTTTAGAGAGTGATGAGATGTTTTAACACTGTGCCATTTGAGGTCAGGATTGCCCCACCATCAAGGTCCTTGCTAATTGTTAAGGGCTGCAGCAATTCCTGTTACGTTAACTTGTGAAATAGCTGCACAAGCATTAAGACCCTGATGACATCTCAGATACAGGACCAATGTAAATATAAAGATTAGTTGATGGAGCAAGTGACTCCAAATGCTGCGCAAAATCTCTGTGCCTAAATATAAAAAATACATAGAAAATAGTACTTAAATATAGAAAATACAAAGAAAAAAGTACATATGGCTCTTTCCCCATATGATATCTTTTAAATCCATGGCTTGTCTTGTTCTGCTAGGCTGAGGCTGTGAATATGGAAGAAAGAGCTAATGGCTTGTAAGGTTCTGCTTTGCAAAGAGACTTCCTGGATTTTAGTAATAAAGTAATGCATCGCTAAGTCAGACGTGTCTTTCCACAAGACTTCAACCGCTTAGAAAGAAACTAAGCAAAAGCAAGAAAAGATAATTAAGGCTCATCTAACCTGATCCCAATCTGACCACCTGCAGCGGGCTGACTGGCAAATTCAGAGCAGAGTAGGAACCCTGGCCCACACTCAGTACTCAACACAGAGGGACCTTTTCTTTTGGCATTCAGACCACTCCTCACTGGGTCTTTGCAGGGACTGCTGAGACCCCTCTCCTTCCGCAGAGGGCAGCGATGAACACGCTCTGCTCAGCATTTGCAGCGAGTTTTGAACAAATCTTTCCCAACGAGTGCTAGACAGTATTGCACACAAGTTAAGAGCAATGTATGTTAAGTAGACACACAGAGAAACAAATTTCAGGAAGCTTTTCCATAAAGCCAACCATCAGAATGGTTTAGGTTAGAGCACCTTTTTGTCTGGGAGTTCAAATATCCCCAAGAGGCCCGAGACAATGACTTTGAACCTCAGTGAGAGAGAGAAGCAGCACCACTGCCGCAGCCATGGGTGAGCCCCGTGGCTCATGGGGTCAGTACCTTCAGAGAGAACTGGTACATGGGATGGATGGCATGGAGGTCATTCATGGTGAAGTACAGCAGAGAGGCCCGCGCGGCAGCCGGTCTGTAGTGCTCCCTGGCCTCGTTAATCTTGGTTTCTGTCACCTTAGACTCCTGGACCTGGGAGGAAAACACAGGAAAAAATCCCCATGAAAACACCTCTGTGAACTGAGTATGCAGCCCGGGGGAGGGTTGATCTCTGCCACAAAGGCATCAGGCCAAGTAGTGAGTGACGCACATGCGAGCGCTGCAGGGACCAGCCTCTGCCCTCCAAAGAATGGTGCAGCCAGGCTTGAGCCACCCACTCCCAGCACCCCCTTTCCCCTGGCATATTCTCTATTTAACTGCATTTACTGCCCCGTTGCTGAATCCTCTGTTTTCCCGTGCCCGCCCCCCCCCCAAGGCTTCTCACTAGGATCCCTGCTCTTTACTAACTAGGATTGTTTTTCTCATCAATGAGTTTCTCCTGCTAATTGCCCCCCTCCTGTGCAGGCCATTAACAACGCAGGGCTGAACAGACTTAGTGCTGCTCTTGAGGTAGCTTCTCCCAAGGCTGAAAACTGCTGATTTATAACGGCTATTTGCTGCCTTTCCTCGCCAGCATTTAACACACCCCTACCTTGCTGGCCAGGTGTCTGCATAGCTGCTGTGATGGACATGGTGAAAATCCTTTTGGCAGATACATCACCCTATTATCATCTCAGTCATGTTCATTCTCTCATTCCACTTCAGCAGCATAAAGTGACATCCTTGAGCCTCTCAGGGATTATTTTAGGCTCTGGCTATGAACAGTCATAAGTGTCTTGCAACACAGCCACATGCTGCTGAGCCAGTGCTGATCCAGTTAGCTCAGCAAACCATGCAATGGGCATGTGGCCGAAAAGGTCTCAGCACATGTTGTACAAGCCAGCAGGGCATGCCACAGCCCCCACTGAAACACATGCCACTGGGTCTCCCTTTGCCGTGTCCTGAGCTGGTGTGAGCACACGTGGCTGGGGCACATCAAACCTTCCCAACAAAGCACAGGCTGAGCCTTAATCTGCTGTGTGCAACCAACACCCGTTGGGATCTGCGGGATTTGCACATCCCCATGAGGAATGATGGATGTAAGATCTGAGGGTCGTGGTTTAGGCCCAGCTGGGAGCAGTGCACCACGCGGCCGCTTGGTGGGGAGGAGAATCGGGAGAAAAGGTCCAAACCTCGTGGGTTGAGATAAGAACAGTTTAATGGAACAGCACAAAGAGAGAAGAAACAACGGTAACAACAACAACACCACCACCACGGATGAAATAAAGGTACAGCGAGAGACACGGAACAGAACAGCTCACCGCCCAGACCGCCCGCCGCACTGTGCAGCGGGGCCTTCCCGCCGTTCCTCCTTTTATACTGAGCGTGGTCAGCATCGAATACCCCTTGGCCACTTGGTTTGGCTGTCCTGGCTATGCCCCCTCCCAGCTTCTGGTGAAAATTAACCCCATCCTAGCCAAACTCAGGACACTGAGTCCCCCAAAAAGCAGCTTCAATGTCTACTGCAGAAACAAGCATCCGCGTGGGCCATGAATCTACATCAGATGAGTCCCCCTTCTGGCAGCACCCATGTCTCTCCACTGACTATAAGGGAGCCTAGAGTCTAGCTTAGACTTAGGCAACTAACTTTCAGATATTCCATTACCAAAATGATTAATAAATCTAGTAAAATAAGAGTCAGAGGTAGGGAAGACAGTTGCTTCCCATAAATAGAGTAGGGAGGACTTCCATAGGAAAGAAAATGTTGGCTGAACATTTTTGTTTGGGTAGACAGACCAAGAACAGAGTAAGAGTTGACTTGAGAAGCAGAACATGGCCCTAAAACAGTTTTCCATGTGGGTACCAAACTCATAAAATCCAGGTGCAAACTCCAAAATTCATCCCTGTTGCCACAGAGCTGGCAGCAACCAGCTTTACAACCACAACTTGTTTAGAAGTCAAAGCACTTCAGGAACACCTACTTCTAGAGGGAGATGCCAAGCTTGCCAGGTCAAAACATCCCTTCAACTGTGCCTTTGGGGATTCAAGCAAACCGTCCCTAGGCAGAAATAATTCCAGTTTTTAATGTGGAGGATTGCTTAGTTCCTTGGTCACTGGGGTTACAGTGCTGGGAAGCAAAAGGCAATTCCAGCACAACGCCAGTGTGTGGGTAACTTACTCGGGCAGAATGAGCCAGGGGGCTGGAGGAGGACAGGTGTGGGCTGTGCAGATGTGAGGACTGCGGAGGGAAGCAGTTGAGCACGGCCATACAGGAGTCCTATCACAATCCTGTCCTGACAAGCACACTCCTCAAGTTCCCTCAGTGGCAGGGGCAAAGCTCTGTGCATTTATAACTCACTCCATCTAGCCAGCAAGGTGAACTAGGTAGGCGGCAATGCTGACACTGTCCAGCTAATACAAACGCTGATTTATACTCTAAGGAATGGAAGAGTATGAAATACCCAAGATCTTGCAGATTTACTTGAGATCACAAACTCAACAGATCCCAGTCCCTGGTCAGTACTAAAATCCAGCTTAACTGAGGAAGGGTGATGTATTCAGGATTACAGTGGAACAGTTTAAAGCTGCCTTGATACAGTGTGTAAATTTTATTGTCTTTACACCAGACATTGATGTTTTCTCTTGGTCTTAAATAGGTCATTTAACACACAAAAAGCTCCAAAGAACTAAATGGCCTGAAGCTGTCCAGAACGGAGAGCACTTCAATTTACACCACTTTCTATTCTCTACTCAGCAGAAGGGGCAGAGAGGGGCAGAGTAAAGAAGTTACATTCCACTAAGAAATCCTTAAAGATAACATCACATACATGATTTTCTTTAGGCTATCACTGTCTTCGTACCTTCTCTTCAATTTCTGCAGCTGTCTGTTTAGTGATCTCCAGGTTCTCCACCAACGCTGTGTCTCCCAGGAAGTTCCCAGATGCTGACGACAACCGAGAGAGCAAGTTGTCCTCTAATGTTTTCAAAGTGATTTTGAATCCATTCTGTTGCTGTGTGAGATCTGACTGCAAATAATAAATTCAGAAAGTTTTAGCCACGAGACACACAGAAAAGTAAGGATTAACCACCTTCACATGGGAACAGGCTTCTAAATGACAATTGCCATAGTCCAATATTGCTTACTCCTGCCCTCTGCAACTCCTGGGCAGGGGCAGAGCTCTGGGGATCACTCCATATCCAACAAGCTGTCAACTCAGAGAAACCTTGAACAGAACAGAAAGCACCAGGAGAACTGAGCCCTTTCACCACGAATGTATTAAAATGCTGGAAATTAATCAGGAGGAAAGGACCTCCATCCCCCATCTCAAACATATGTCCTGCATCTCTGTCTTAGAAGTATCTATTCATTGGGCCCAATTCAGCCTGGATAGTCCCTGCTGCTTCTCAGCCCTCCTGGTGAACCCCTGCACTTACCACTACACACCAATACCAGTCACACCAGCAATGAGGACCACAGGGTTAAAACCTGATGGCAAAACCAAGGTCACTTGGGTCCAGAGATAAGCACAATGCATCTCAGTCTCAGAGCTGAGGGGAAAGTCACAGTCTCCCTTAATCGCTGCTCCCGTTAGTACTCTGGCCTCAAGATCTCACTGGGATCAGGAGCTTACTGTGTTAGAAGCTGTGCGTGCAAAGACAAAGTGCCCCTGCCAAAGGATTTGCAAACTCAGCACAAAGACAGCCAGCAGATACAGACCAGTAACAACCATCTTGCCTCAAGGACAGATCTTCCGAATTATATTGCAAATTCTTCCAATTTCTGCAAAATGCTCCCTCCATTCTCCCCAGACACTTGTTCCATTTCCCTCTCTTCTGCAGAAATATCTGTTATTAACATTGTTCACAGTGGAAACAAAGACTCTCATCTGGCTCCTTTTTGAACTGATCCTCCAGAATAGGCTTTCTCCCATGAAATGTGATTACCCTGTTCTATGTGTTTGCTCGGAGAAATGGCATCTTTCCTGGATTTCAGGTATATTATGTTATTCCACTACATGGTCCTATTGTGAACGCCTATTTTTAGCATTATCACAGAAAAGATCCTGTGGGAAAGCTGTGCATCTGCTTTGGATGCTGTTAAGATATAAAGCTGGTGACCATCCTCTACATAAATGAAGCCAACCGCTAACACTCTGCTATGTAAAACACTACTGTGTGACACACAGCTTTGAATCCTCAGACTGTATTTTAGTGGCACAACCCAGAAATTCAAGTAACTTGCAAAAGCGTGTTTTATAGCCCTGCAAAAAATAGCCAGCTCCATGAAATAGCAGATGTCGTGCACATGGAATTGTGACAAGTTCTGGGCCACAGCAACAGGCACATGACAGGTTCAGTGTCACAAGCCAAGTGATTTAATGCTCCAAAGGCAGTTTCTGGAAAACACACCTATACCTTCCAACCACCTACAGGGTCTGGAAGAGCCCCAGAAACGGGAAATGTGACCTTAGGTCTCTTCCAATCCCACAACATATAAGGAAGCCAGCAGTACTTGCTCTCTTGTCAGAGGTTTTCAAGCAGATTAACTCTTTCATTAATAAGCCATCTTTCAATATTTGGGCTGAAATTTCACATACTTGCTGCACACACCCTCATTCCATGTTAATGTCAACCCAAGTATTCAGCAGAGCGTGCACCGAAGCATGCCTTTTATTGGCATTTCAGCTATAAATGGCTGGTTTTAAAGGCCTGTTCTGTAGGCATTACACACAGGGGTTTGCCCATGGTGGTAAATATTTTACAAGTCTTGAAACAGAAAACATGGCTAATTTTGTGTGTTCCTGTCATTCAACCATAGCATGCCTTGAAAAATGACATTTTGCAACCTATTATTCCAGACCATAGACTGTAAACCCTAGAGTTATTAATGAGGATGTGTGCGATTTTGGCTTCAACAGCTTGTAATCACCATGCAATTCCTGCAACACACCCTTACAAGTGCATACGACGCTGTGTTCCTCACAACAGCCTGCATCTGTTGCAGTTTTACCATACTATAC